TGAAGAGGAGAGAGGGATGAGAGAGAAGTTGATTTTTTGGTCATTTTCGTGTGTTTCTTCAGCTAGGAAAAGTTTTTTGAATGTTATAAGACTCGAACCTCACTCTGATTTTCAATGATTTTAAGTTTGATGAATTTAATATCTCCTACATCAATAAAAATGCATTTTCTACTAATTTATTGCAGTTGTACCTTGTGCCTTTTTTATATATAATAGTCATGGACTTTATAGACATTTTGACTATAATATTATTAAATTTCACCGATTAAAATGGAGGTTATGATTTTGCATTCACATGATAATGCATTAAACTGCTTGATAGATAGAAACATATAGTAGAACCATCAAGATGAAACTGATAGAAAATTGATGTTGTTTCACTGCAACCCCTATTATAGATTTATATAAACTTTTTACTAATCATATTGGATTATATTGCTTATTGAATAATATTGGTTAGAATTGGAACATATTGATTATTGTCTTGCATTGAAGGCAACAATGAGTTTTGTTTACTTGCGGGCCTTGTAAGTTTATTATGTGGTTTTACATGATTTCAAGAAAAAGTAAAGAACCTGCGGTTTGAGGCTTAACAGTGTTGATATTTTGGTTAGTTAAGTTTTTTGGTTAGATGTATTCTTTTGTAACTTGTAGCAACTATTGTATATGTTATTTTGTAATCTAATTATAGAATGTGAATATTGACTATGAAAATATAATGATGTTTTTCCTATTGTTATTTATTTTCTTTAATGTAATTAATCGGTTTTGAATGTCAAATTGATCTGGTTGTAATTGAATGAACATTGATTGTTAACTAAAAGACAAATAAATAGAATAAGTTAAAAAGATAATAAAGGGGATAAGAAAAAAAATTCTTTCACTTTAGATCTTAAAGCATGACATTTTCAATATTTAAGTTTCTTACAAATGTGACACTAGCCCTTCACCTTAGGCTTGGATTTTAATCATTCTCTTACTCCCTCACTTGCCTTTTCCATATTTACCTATCCTAACCAATAAACCCAATAGAAAGCTTCTCCTTGCACTCTTTTTCGAACATCATTTACAATAAGAAATACATTTACTTATTTAGTGTATTTTACATAAATAATGTGTTATTATATTCATAAAAGATTGATAGAGAGCACAAACAAAATCAATGGTTTTTTCTCTACAATTTTGAGATGGTCAAATCCTAAATAAGCTTATTATAGGCATCCAAATGCTCATGAAGTATTTTAGCTTTGTTCATACAAAAAACTACTAGTGCTTCAAATATACAATTCTTAAGCAATTTCATCATATACAGAGCTTCCAACTTATCCTACATAACCTTTGTAGTATAAAAATCTATCATATTCCAAAGAATCACATCTCCCAAATAAAAGAATAATTGAATCAAAGGACTTAGATGAACTCATCTTCATTTGTTTTAGTTAGCAGTTCATTCTCATTTAAATCTTTAAGTAAAAATATTTTAATAAAGATGCTCTCATCTTCATTTTCCAAACTTAAGAGTATTACTCTGGATAAGCTTCTTAAATTCATATTTAGTAATGCTAATTGACGACAACAGCCTGGAAAATGGCATGCGCCTAGGTACCAATAGCTCTGATACCATATTCTTATGTCAGAGGTTCAAACTACCTGCTGTCATCAACTAAGAGAAATCATGTGATAATAACATATAAAATATATGAGGAGCAACTAAAATTAGCACAAAGATAATAGAATAAAAAATTAACATAGTTCAACTAAGAAAAACTTACATAGATGGGGCAAAGATGAAAAAAAAAAAATTGGAGAAGTATAAATAAGAAGAATATCATCCATATCTCAAAAGTAGATGAGTAAATTTCAACAAAAAACTTGGAACGAAGATTCTCAAGAGAAATGCTAAGAGAAAGTTATAGAAATTCCTCCCTCATCAAAACTCCAAAAAACAAAAGCAATAATTCGCCCTCTTTCTTATTCCTAAGCAGTAACAACCAGATCTTTACTTTTTCAATAGTCGTTTAGTCCTTTTCTTCTTTGAAAGTCATCCATCCTTTTCTTTTTCAAAGAGTTGTCGATCCTTTCTTTTTCGTAACCAAAAAGAGCCACAGCCCTTTTCTTCATGTCCTAGAGAAATCAAAACATCTCGTTCCTCTATCCTATGATTTTGCAAGGGGAAAATTTCTAGAACTTCTTTTTGATCTTAGGATTTTGGATCCAGGAGAAAATCACAAACCTGATTCCTACAAGGATTTCAAGTCCAAGATAAAATCATAACACCTGATTTATATCATAGGATTTCAAGTCTAGGAGAAAATCACAACACCTGATTCTGATAAGGTTCTGCCTGAACTGCCCAAACAGGCCCCGCCTGGGCCGGTTCGCGTATACAGGAGGCGGACTAAGCCGCCTCCTTCCGTGGGGGCCCACTTTGGGCAGGATTTAGAGAGAGGGAAAGGGGGCGGGCAGCAATTAGAGAAATCCTTTTGAACTGGATTTGAATTTGATTTATTCTAGGGAAAGTTTTTATTGGCTTTGTATTAGGAAGTATGTATTAAAAGGAAGAGGGAGGCTAGGGTTAGGGCATGCATGACTATATTTCTCTTGAAGTTTTCTTTGGTGTCTTGGGCTCTAGGCTATGATGCACCGACACTTCTCCTCAAAGAGGCGTGCAGTGTCTGACACCGTATCCGACACGACACTCGTCCGACACTCCTTCGACACTTGTTGGACACGCCGAAAACATGTCCGATTAAAAATATTAAATACAAGTTGGACACGCGTGTCCGACACGCGTATCTTAAATATTTTATGAATTTTTTTAAATATAATTTCTTATATTTGGCGGGATTTAAACTAAATTTCTTATTTCCTATTCACAACACCAAATCAACGTCCGTACTTAATACTCAATCATCGAATATTCTCATTTTCATTTCTTTTTGGCAGTGAAGGTATTTTCATCTCCTCTCTTGGTGACTGATAAACGACATCGACGTCTGACTCTCGACATCCTAATACTAATCATTTTAAACACAAATTCTAGTTAAATGACTTATTATTTTCATATTATTTTTAAAATTATACTTATTTAATTTTTATACACTATTTTTTAAATATAAAAACTATAATACCGTGTCCAACCCGTGTCCGTGTCTCATATTTTCAATAACTGACGTGTCCCGTGTCTGTGTCGTGTCAAATCCATGTCGCCGTGTCCGTGTCTATGCATCATAGGCTCTAGGCTTCTCGTCTAGAGATTGGGAGAGAACGATTCTCCTCTTGAATTGAGGATCGATTGTATCTTTGTTTCGTTCTTGCTTCACTTTGATTTCTATAAAATTATCTACTGATTTTTTATTGCTTCCACCCTAATTCTTCTATTTTCCCCGCTGATTTTACCGAATATTGTTAGGTTTGCTTGCGAACTCAAGTATTCCCATTAGGGTTACTTGCGAACTCAAGTATTTTCTATCAGATTCCTCCTATTCTCGATTTATATCCCATTAACTGGTTGCAAAATTCTAGCCCTACTCTACAGGAAGTGAGTACTAAGTAAAAGTGGAGATTTAAAAAACAACCTTTAGAATTGTATACAATCCCAACATCTAGAATCCAATGCTAATAGTGAAGATCTTGGTATATAGATGATGCGATAAAAATCCAAGGGCTGCCAACACATGTAAGTTCATAGATTATGGATACCTATTTTACCCATGTGATAAGCATTTTTTTGAATTTCCCTATTCCTTTGAAGATTGAATGCTTTATTTAGCTTGCCTTGAATCATGACCATCTATCAAGAGAGAGTAGTATAATCGTATCCGAGTTAGTCAAAGAGATTGGGCTTAAGAGAACGTTAATAATATCTTCTAGAAATATCAGATGTATTAAGTATAGGGCAATGTTCTAAATTACTTTTAAGGATTCACATTATCATTAAAAGCATTAAAATCTGACCAATGGAATTTGCATGTTTGTGCTTAGAAGAACGTGCTCTAGGAAGTATGGTGGAATTTACGCATATCTCCAGCAGCCTTTCTTCCATTTAAGGATAAAGTTTTCTGAATTGCCTTGCATCAGTCCATGGAACATGCTAATTTACTAAAAAAATGGTAATCTAACAGCAGCACTTGCATTTTGCATTGAATGAGCAAAGTAGACTCGACCATATATCCTCGAAATGTAAGGTATTGAACAAAGTTTTGTATTTCTTACAGCATGCCATCTCACAAAAGCCTCAAAATTCATTGAGTCGATGCAGAATGAAGAGCATTGCTCAGGTATTGTAGATGGTATGAAATTTACAAGTATTCACATTATTTTATACAGGATTTCTAGCTTGAAGAAGTAGGCCAAGAGAGACTAGATAATCCTACACTAAACCTACTTTTATGCCTTGCAAGGCTCCTTTAGTAGAGTCCCCTGCAGATGTTGATTATGAGGTGCCTAATACTATCCAGGACATATTTCTTGAAGAAAAGTTAGATCAAAGTTGTTATTAAAGTTAGTAATAGCTCCAGTATTACATCGGATCCAACATTTTGCAGTTTGTAGCCTTGGAAGGTAAACATTGTTTAGCTTCACCGATAGAAAATGATCAACATTACCCTAAATTTACAAAAAATCCTTGGAATCTTTTTTATTTTTTTCCTTTTCTTTTTATAGCTTATAAAATTATGAACTTCTTTCTTACAAGTCTTCAACATGTCACATTATAGTCTTGTTTATACTGTGTAATTCTTTGATTGTTTACTGTATTGTGATTTTAATGGGTAAATCAATTAAAAGTACAGTGTCACAAGGCGGTTTTCCTTCAGAATCCTAACCTCAGTTTTACCATGCTTCACTTAGATAATTTTTAGTAACAAGTTCATCAAAAGAAATAGGTCAACAGAAAATATATATATATATATATATATACACACACACACACAAATGTAGAAATATATATTTTAATGTAAAAAAAAAGAATGATCCAAAATAAAATCTTATTACTATACCTGTATTGTTGCAAAAATCTTCTCAAGGTCTCTTGCAAAGGCTTTAACATCAACATTTTGCTCCGTAGCACCCATTTCAATTAATGCAGAAGCCATCTCCTCATAATCTTCGCTTGCAAATGATGACAAAAATATTTCTATAGCTGCCCATGTCTTTGGAGATATCCGACCAACAATTCCTGAACCAAAATAAACTTCAGATGCGTTCCAAGATTCTATTCAGATATTGTTTAAATTAATTTCACTCTTGCATCTAACACAACTTAACAGCTAAACTAACTTTCTTTTGAAATCAAAGCATAACCCATCAGAGACACCAGGATAGGAAGTTACTAAACCTCAGTTTAAAATTATAGTAAAACATTCTCTTCTTTGGAAACTGGATGCAATAATATTTAAAGTTCAAACAGATCATTTGATTGAATTAGATTTCGAAGGCCAACAAATGATACTTGAGCGCATTATTTATGTAGCTAGGCTTTCTCAGCCTGCATGCCGAATTTATCATTTTTCCCATACATTCCCTCTTTGAAAAGGTAAAATGGTAGAATGTCTTCCTTGAAATTCCTCAAGGTAAAACTGAATCATGACATATATAGTTACTATCAGTTTAAAAAAAATCTATCTTTAAGAGTTATAGAGAAACAATCAAAACATAATAATGGTGAGGGCGGCCTGTCAAACATGAACAAAGTGGAGGAAATACTTGGTATTGAAGAGTTATTACAAATAGAAGTTTAGCCTAAAGCGGTAAGAACTTAGAAAACTGTTATATCGAACAGCGTCCTCATTCGAGTCCTCTTGACCTCTTATTAATCTACTGATACACCTTAGGTTTCACAAATTAGGTTTTACCCTAATTTCCCCTCCAAGAGAGTGGACTTTCTCCACCAACACCAAATGAGAAAGTAATCACAAAAAGAGTAGAGAAGAACAATGAGAACCTTTGCATTAGCAAGCCAAGAGAAAACAAGATAAGTTTGTCCACTTCGAGAAGGACAAGATCTCCCAAAAGAAAACCCTAGAAAAGCACAAGAGAAGACTAGAGGAAGAAAACTAGAAAGAGAATACACTTTTCATAAT